TCCTCTAGACACTACTTTTAATGTGTCCCAGAGATTCTGGTACGTTGTGTCTTCGTTCTTGTTGGTTTCAAAGAACATCTTTATTTCTGCCTTCATTTCATTGTTTATCCAGTTGACGTTCAGGATCCAGTTGTTTAGTTTCCATGAAGTTTTGTGGTTCTGAGTTAGTTTTTTAATCCTGAGTTCTAATTTGAATGCCCTGTGGTCTGAAAAATTGTTTGTTATGAGTTTTGTTCTTTTGCATTTGCTAAGGAGTAATTTACTTTCAATTATATGGTCATTTTTGGAGTAGGTGCAATGTGATGCTGAGAAGAATGTATATTCTGTGGATTTGGGGTCAAAATTTCTGTACATGTCTATTAGGTCTGCTTGGTCCAGTTCTGAGTTCAAGTCCTGGATGTCCTTGTTAATTTTCTGCCTTATTGATCTGTCTAACATTGACAATGGAGTGTTAAAGTCTCCCACTATTATTGTGTGTGAGTCTAAGTCTCTTTGTAGGTCACTAATAACTTGCTTTATGTACCTGGGTGCTCCTTTATTGGGTGCATATATGTTTAGTATCATCAGCTCTTCTTGTTGCGTTGATCCTTTTACCATTATGTAATGCCCTTCTTTGTCTCTTTTGATATTTGGTGGTTTAAAGTCCATTTTATCAGAGACTAGGATTGCAACCCCTGTTTTTTTTTTTTTTTTTTTTTTTTTTTTTTTTTTTTTTTTTTTTTTTTTTTTTTTTTTTTTTTTTTTTGCTCTCCATTTGCTTGATAAATCTTCCTACATCCCTTTATTTTGACCCTATATGTGTCCTTGCACATGAGATGGTTTCCTGAATACAGCACACCAATCAGTCTTGACTTTTTATCCAATTTGCCAGTCTCTGTCTTTTGATTGGGGCATTTAGCCCCTTTACATTTAAGGTTAATACTGTTGTTTGTGAATTTGATCCTGACATTTTGATGCTAGCTGGATGATTTGCCTGTTAATTGATGCATTTTCTTCAGTGTCTCGATGGTGTTCACCATTTGATGTGTTTTTGGAGTGGCTGGTACTGGTTGTTCCTTTCCTTGTTTAGTGCTTCTTTCAGGAGCTCTTGTAGGGCAGGCCTGGTGGTGACAAAATCTCTCAGCAATTGCTTGTCCATAAAGGATTTTCTTTCTCCTTCACTATGAAGCTTTATTTGGCTGGATATGAAATTCTAGGTTGGAAGTCCTTTTCTTTAAGAATGTTGAATATTGGTCCCCACTCTCTTCTGGCTTATAGGGTTTCTGCTGAGTGATCCCCTATGAGTCTGATGGGCTTCCCTTTGTGGGTAACCCAACCTTTCTCTCTGGCTGCCCTAAGCAATTTTTCCTTCATTCAGCCCTGGTGAATGAAGATTATGTGCCTTGGGGCTGCTACTCTTGAGGAATATCTTTGTGGTATTCTCTGCATTTCCTGTACTTGAACCTTGGCCTGCCTTGCTATATTGGGGAAGTTCTCCTGCATAATATCCTGAAGAGTGTTTTCCAGCTTGGATTCATTCTCTCCATCACCTTCAGGTACATCTATCAAACGTAGATTAGGTTTTTCCACATAATCCCATATTTCTTGGAGGCTTTGTTCATTTCTTTTCACTTTTTTCTCTAATCTTGCCTTCTCATTTTATTTCATTGAGTTGATCTTCACTCTCTGATATCCTTTCTTCTGCTTGGTCTATTTGGCTATTGAAACGTGTATACTTCCCAAAGTTCTCGTGCTGTGCTTTTCAGCTGCATCAAGTCATTTATATTCTTCTCTAAACTGTTATTCTAGTTAGCATTTCATCAAACCTTTTCTCATGGTTCTTAGTTTCTTTGCATTGGGTTAGCACGTGTTCTTTTAGCTCTGAGAAGTTTGTTATTACCCACCTTCTGAAGCTTGTTTCTGTCAATTCATCAGATTCATTCTCTGTCCATCTTTGATCCCTAGCTTGTGAGGAGTTGTCATCCTTGGAGGAGGAGAGGCATTTTGGTTTTTGGTGTTTTCATCCTTTTTGTGCTGGTTTTTCCTATCTGAGTGGCTTTATCTACCTGTGGTCTTTGTAGTTGGTGACTTTTGGATGGGGTGTCTGAGTGGACATCCTTTTTGTTGATGTTGATTCTTAGTTTTCCTTCTAACAGTCAGGCCTCTCTGCTGTAGGACTGCTGGAGGTCCACTCCAGACCCTGCTTGCCTGGGATCACCCTCAGGGCCTGCAGAACAGTAAGGGTTGCTTCCGGTTTCCTCTTCTGTTATCTTTGTCTCAGAAGGGTACCTGCCTGATGTCACCCTGAGCTCTCCTTTATGAGGTGTCTCTGCATATATGGCAGTCAGGGAGCTGCTTAAGGAGACAATCTGTCCCTTAAAGGATCTCAAGTGCTGTGCTGGGAGTTCCATTGTTCCATGCAGAGCTGATGGGATGGCACATTTAAGTCTGCTGCAGCGGAGCTTATAACTGCCTCTTTTCCCAGGTGCTCCATCCTAGGAAGTCGGGCTTTATTTAAAAGTTCCTGATGTGCTGCTGCCTTTTTTCATAGATTCCCCTCTGTATTGTTCTTTCTGGGAATTACACTCCAGAGCTGTTACTATTCGGCCATCTTGGATCCTCCTCCGACAATTTGATTTTAAACCTAACAACATTATATGTTTGGAACAGATTTTTTCATTAATAACATGAATAAATTTTCTATGTTTCTATCAATGATAACTCTCCATGCTTTGTTAATAAGCAGATATCTTTCTGCTGATTTGTATACCTGTTGTGACATATTTTTCTGATTCAAATAAGATTCATTTATTTATTTTAACTTTTAAGTTCTGGGGTAGATGTTCAGGTTTGCTTGTGGGTAACTTGTGTCCTAGGGGTTTGTTGTTCACATTATTCTATCACCCAGGTAATAAGCATAGTACCCAACTGGTATTTTTTTGATCCTTTCCTTCTTCCTATCCTAAACCCTCTTATGTAGGCCCTAGTGTCTTTCGTTCCCATCTTTGTGTCCATGTGTTCTCGTTATTTAGCTCCCACTTATAAGTGAGAACACGTGGTATTTGGTTTTCCGTTTCTGCATTAGTTTGCTAAGGATCTTGGCTTCTAGCTCCATCTGTGTTGCTGCAAAGACATTATCTCATTTTTTTATGACTGCATAGTTTTCTGTGGTATATATGAAACACATTTTATTTTTTCTGTCTACAACTGGTGAGTATTCAGGTACATATTCTGACATATTTTGAAAGAGGATCTCTTTATAAGCTCCTTCTTTGTTTTCTTCCCCTGTAACACTAGCACTCCAGTCTTAAGACTTTTTACTAGATTTCTAGATTTCTAACAAGTTTTGTTACTATTACAAATGTTATCTTTAATAAATTATTGTTTCTCTTTGATCGTTGTTGACATAAAGGAATACTATTGGTTTCAGTATAAATGTTTTATTGTCTAGTGACCTTATGTCTAGCAAATGTGTGTTATAAAATTTGTCATAAATTCTAAAGATTTTTATTTTAAGGCTGCTGGATTCTCTTTGTGAAGAGTTGTATTATTTTGAAATAAGGATAGTTTATGCTTCTCTGAAATTTTTAAATATTTTTTTCCTTTTATGTCACTGAATATATTAGCTAGGATTTTTAGAACAAGTTTAAACTGAGACTGTGATCGTTAATATGCTTAATGTTTTTGCAGGTATTTCATAAATATTAGGCAAGGAGATTTTTTAATACTCTTGATTTGTTCAGATTCATTTCTTAAACCATAAGTGAGTGATCATTGTCATCAAATATTTATCTGCATATATTTGCCAGATATTGTAGTTTTTATTCTTTGATAATCTCATGTATTTAATGATTTTATAATTAAAATATTTAAACAATTTTTAATAACTATGATTGTATAGAAAAAAACCACAAACTGTTTTTTTCTATATTCATATTCAGTGCAGGATATTTCTGTGAACAGATACATAGGTATTTTTCCTCAGATGGAATAATTTTATGGCACCAGATGCCCTACAGTTTAACTGAGCTTTGTCATTATCTCTTTTGAGTAACCTCAGATCCCACAGGTTAAGGCTTCAGCCTTATAAGATTGCCCTCCACTTCAGATGCCAATCACAAGTCCAGTTTGTTACTTGTGTTTCTGAATGAATGGGTATAAATCAGAGGTTTTAACAGTCCACTCTTCAGGTTTAGTCATTGGCTAGCATGGCTCACAGAACTCAGAAAAGTGTTTTACTTTCTATTACTCATATATTATAAAAGGATATAACATAGGGTATAGCCATATGGAAAAGAAACACAGATCCATATGAAGAAAGGAACACAGAGCTTCCATGCCCTCTCTGGGTGCAGCATATTCTATGTTCTTAGTAACCCAGAAGCTCCACAAACCCTTTTATTTTAGGGCATTTTGGAGGCTTTATTATGTATGCATACTTGATTGATTAAATTATTGGCTATTGGTTATCGACTCAACTGTTAGTCCATCTCCTTTCCACAAAGGCCTGGTTGGTACTGAAAGTTTAAATTATCTAGTCACGTAGTTGATTTATCTGGCAACCAAGTCTCTGCAACCTGTGATTATCTTGGGAATTTCCAAATACTACCTTATTAACACAAACTCAGGTGTGGTTGAATGGGCTTCTTATAAATAATGAAAGATGGCTCTTTTACCTTTGTTGCTTCTGTCACTTAGGAAATTACAAAATAACCATCTAGCATCAAGATGACAGGATCAAAACCACCCATAACAATACTAACCTTAAATGAAAATGTGCTAAATGCCCCAATTAAAAGACACAAAATGGCAAGCTGAATAAAGAGCCAAGATCCATCGGTAGGCTATCTTTAAGAGGGTCATCTCATGTGCAAAGATACACATAGGCTCAAAATAAAGCGATGGAGGAAAATTTACGAAGCAAATCGAAAACTGAAAAAAGCAGGGGTTGACATCCCAGTTTCTGACAAAACAGACTGTAAACCAACAAACATAAAGGTTTTTTGTGTTTTTTTTTTTAGCAGATTGATGTCAGAAGTGGGATTCAAAGTGGGACTCCAGTGACTACCAGGAGCACGAAGTGACCTACAGGTACTCATTAAGCCTCATTGTTTCCATTTATTTCTCACAGAAACTGAGGTAATGAGTTAGTTCTGTCCTGGATTTGAGCTTTATAAATTTGTGTTTCGAGCTCTCTGACTTTATTTGATCAATATTTACTGGAATTGGTCTAGGATTGAACTGGTTGCAAGAAATCACTAGATTGTCTCCAGTTAGAGATGTCAGGTATGTCCAATTTGAGAATTAGTTTTTTCAAATTTAAAGAGTCTGGGATGCTACTTTCTGGGACATTGGATAACTCTATATACAAAAATTAGTAGCTTGCATTACTGTAACTGGAACATTGCTAAAACAGAATGAAAGCTATAAGATCTGTTTCTATTTGTTCATATATCTGTATGTATGATATGTATGTGTGTTTGTCTTCTGATGACTTAGTATCTTATTTTTTTAAGGAATCCAAACATAATTGCTAAAAAATAATTGAGTTAAAGAGATGTAATATTTCCATGTAAATATGTCTTTTCAATATCAGAAGGCTTTAATGTTCTTATCAGGAATGAAAAGCTGAGGCTGGGGGAAATCTTTACAAACGAGATGTTAACTCTCAGTCCTAGCCCAAACCAACAAACCAGCAAGCAAACCAAAAACACACAAGAGGATAGAGATGAAATTTTGCCTCATCTTCAGTTCCTTAATACAGAGACATTAGAAATGTTTGGAACCATTAGTAGATATTTTATTTTCCACACTGACAAGCTGCACTACGAAAAACCACATGCTTCTAGAAATAATTATTCATATATTTGCAATGTATAGGATGTTGCTGTGACAGAGAGTTCCCAATTGCTTGCTTCCTAGTGTTTACTGGAAAGTAAGGTTACTAAGAAATCTGATTTCTAACTACTATATGTACCTAAAATTACTATAAGTGAAATAAGGAAAACAACTCTGTACACCAATATTCAAGGAAGTTCAGATGTGTGCATAGTAAGGACAAGCTGTAGAGTATGAGGATGTTTTGTTTTGGTAAGAAAAAATGAGTAATTTTTATTCTAAAATAGAATGACATATTTTTCCAAAATGTGAAGAGAAAACATATAGGACAAAAACTTAATGGATGTGAAAGTTGTAGAAGGTATGTGGAAGATGAATCTTGTGAAAGAAGTTTTATGCGTGATCAAGCTGGCTAAGATTAGGTGGGAATTATAAATTTTTCTAAAAAATGAACATTAATATTAAAAGTATGCTGATGCAAAGGTAGAATTTGCTTCTCTTTATTAAAACAACATGATTTCTTAGAGTATTAGTCTACTCTTAATAGAAAATTGTAAAAGGTTTGCTTTCTAGATAATAGACCTAGAAAACAAAGATTTTATGTTTTACCAAGTTAATTTCCTGTGCTTTATGTTGTTTTTATTATATTTTTATTCACTTAAAAAAACTGAGTCCTCTTTGTTAAAAGAGCTAAGTTTTCTTCAACTGTGTAAATTTATTTCCTTTTTCAGACTTAATTATCATGACCTTGGTTAAATTAATTACTGCTGTTCACAGTAACCTGAGATTCTATTTTGTCAGGTGTTTTAAATGTTTGATAAACTTTCCAAAAATCAAATTCTAAATTAGGTATTTTTCTTGACCTCAAATTAACTTTAGGATTTTTTTAGATGAGCCCTTTGATGCATTTTCTTATAAAAGAGATACATTAAACTGATTGGGCTTATTTGATATATTAAATTATGTAGGAAACATTATTAATAAATAATGCTAAACCTTCATATTATATTTGTTTGGATGTGTTATTAATATGTATTTCAGAAAGTGTAAGAAATAGTTCTGGGGTAACACCATCAGTCATAATTCTGGTGATTACCTTAAAATGTTGTATGCTGCAGAACTAACCAAACTTCCTGGTCAGTTGCATCATTATAATAATAATACTCTCTCATCATATCTTAAATTATAGCTATTTTAAATGTTGTCATTAACAGATGCTTATTTGCTTATTCTAATACTTTCTTGAGTAGCTATAAATCTAAAGTGCTTTATCTTCAAAGAAATTCATGGAAGGAATGATAACAAGTGTAAGTGTCTGATAACTTTAAGGTCTTGTCATTAGACTGAGTAAGAATTTCTAGATCTCTAAAGAGGAAACTGATTATCCATAAAATTGCTAACCCAACATCAAGCAGAATAAGAATTAATTAAATACCTAAGAAATAATTTCACAGGTTTTCATAAGTCAGCCACTACTGAAATTGTTGAGTTATGAAATTTGAATGAAATCCATAAGAATGCATCAATTCAAATTACTTATAATAACGTTATAAGAAACAGTTCTATACACCTGAAATGGAAGAAAAAAAAATTGACGTTTATGAGGACGTAATTCTAATGTTAAACGTGGATTCATGGAGAGCAGGAATGATTATTTTGTCCTTTCTGAATTCTTAAACTTTCTGTTAACAAATGCCCTGCACTCAGTGACTCATGGTAGAGATAAAATAACCTAAATTATGGAAAAAATTGGTGGACTGTTCAAAGTTTACTAAAAGAATTTATCACCAACGTTTGGATTATCAAACCTGTAATTCTAGTAAGACAACAAAAATCTCAGGTGACGTATTTTCAGTACCTGCTGGGCTATTTGAATACCTACAGATGGATTTTATTCAACTACCATCTTTCATGCATGTTTTCTGGTTACATAGAAGCCCTCCCATTTAAAAGGCTGATACTATAATAGTAGCTAAAAAGTTATCAGAAAATGTTTTTTCCTTGTGGGACACACTTTTCTCATAAAATCTCCAGTGATGGAGTTACTTGTTTCACTGGAAAAGTTGTAAAATAGTTAAATAAGTTATTATAAATGCAAGGGCATTAAGCAGAGTTAACTGAATTGATTGACTTGCTTTGGGTAAACATATTGCTGATTGATGGCAATCAGATCCACTCTCACTGGAAAACATAGGTTGACCATTTCTGAAGTAGTTACTGGAAGGCCTATACCTCTAATCATAGAACCATACATGTTTCCCACGCTTGAAAACTTTGCCATAATTCGGTAGTTCAAAGCTTTAATGCATTGCACCAAAGCATATTTCCACAAAGTAAAATAACATTTTTGTGACCCATCTACTGATGATGACCAGATCTAAAACCCAGATATTAGGTCTTTAGAAAACAACACCAGATAAAGACTGCTCCTGAACTCTGAAGAGACCACATCAAGTTCTTCTCTGCAGCAAAACTTTAAGGCCTGGAGACTTGGTTCTGCATCTCTGATCTCAAAATAACTCCTCCAGATTCCTAAATGGCATGCCTATTGGATACCCTAAAGTAAGACCAACCAGGAAAGTTTTTCCTCAGAAGCAGATGACATCCTAGGCATTGACAGCTTCCCAAGATCACACATCAAGTCTTCTCTTCCACCATAGAAGTCATACCTTTATTCCTTCTTTCCCTTTTTTTTATTTTCTAATCCCCTCCCTTTCCTTACAAGAAAATGCATGGGACTATAACCAGTGCATGGCTTTAACTAAGGCTTATGCTCTAACAATAAACTGGAGACTTTGTTGAGTTTGTGGGTTAATGCCCCCAAATCAGGAAAAATTTTACTAATGTATGCCATTACCTCTCTGTGTTCCCAATGAGAGTCACCCTGAATCTACAAAAGTAGAGTGGAAAGTTATCCTTGATATTCTAGACATCATTGCTAATTGTATTTTAAAATTCACTGAAAATAGTACCTTTACCTTTCCAATTAATATTCTAATTGCCATCAAACAGAAAATCTGTACTAGTGATGGCAGCAAAATGTATATTATCTTTGAGACATTATGTAATCAAGACTTGAAGATTACCTATGAGATTATGCATAATTGGTTGTATAATGTTACTTATTTAAATCTAGTAAGGTCTCTAAATGTGGCTATTGACACTTTCAGTCTGCTACAAAAAGACCACAAAAAAGTAAGTTCCCACTAGATCTTGTTCAACAGCTATGAAGACTTACCTGTGGATGAATTTAATTGACCTCTGTTCAAACCCCACTAGATGGCCCTCTTTTCCAGCTCCCGAGGGCGTATATCGAGTCTGCAGAGAGTCTGCTTATTCTTTTATGCCTACTCACTGGCTTGGATCTTCCTATTTGACCTGGTTCACGCCTGCCTTCTGAATGGCTTTCTCTGAAAGTCTTAGTAATACCTCTCATAATCAGAGGTGAAAGTGGTCAGTAACCCAAAATTAGTATAAACCATGAAATAGAAAAAGATAAGTCAGTGTCCACTAAGTAAAGATTTCAATGGAGATTTTGGGGCTCACTCTTCATGAAGGTGAGGTGATGGCTGCAATAGAATTTCAAGCTAATCTATAAATTGGGGAAAATCTTAGATTTTATAGCAAATCAGATCAGCCAGAGTTTAGACTGGTAGAAGCCCCTCTCTAAAAGGTGAATGAGAACATGTGTGCTCAACAAAATCACTTAATGGAACATCACACAGCTTTAGATATCTTCTAACTCACGTTGGGGTTTTGTTTATGGTTTTGAACAAAACTGAATTTGAATTTGCACTTACCTTTCCCTTGATTTTACTACTACAAGAAGTTTTATTTCAAAGGTGACTGTTACTGCTATTTCTCTAAACACTGTCACCAAATACATTGAGGAAATTTCTCACAGGAAAGAAACACATGATATGTTTATGAGAGCAGGTGACAGCTGCCTTGTAAGCATTCTGAATGCGGGATGACAAGGTTGACCCTTCCAAAGTTTTCTAATTTTCATCTCTTAGTAGGTCTCCAGGTTATTATACCTTGTGTTACCAGGGTAATGACCAAAAATTGGTACCTTTTAAATTCAGGCCATTTTACAGCAAAGTATAGTCCTTAATTGCCATCATGCCCCAAACAAAGAGTTTGATCAATTGGACATAAATATTATTGAACTATATTTATTTACTACATTATCATTCTTTTTTTTTTCAGTTTGGGTTATGAAGTCTTTTGTTAAGGGATGCACTTGAGTTTCT